GTTTCACCAAAATTTAAGGATCAGAAATTCATTACTAACATAACTACTGCTGTTAATAGCATCAATAACGGTTTTGATAATGATGGTGATGGTAGTAGCAAAAATGCCGATAATAACAGCAACAACATTAATTACATAAAGAAATAAACAAGAAACAAAACGAACAAATAAAATAAAATAATAAATCTATAAACAAAAAACAAGCAAATAAACAAATAAATAGATAAAAAAAACAGAATACTTTTCCCCGCCGCCCCATCCACGCCCGCGGGCCTGCGCCACTTCTCACGCGCGATCGCCGGAACTGCCGTCCTTTCCGACTCCCCGGATTCCGCGCCGCCTGCCGCCCGCGCAGGGAGGGCCCGACGCTCGGACCAGCGGGATATGGAGCAAAGCGGTGGCCGGTGTTGCGACAGATTTATTTCGCGGGGAAAATAACTTTCTTCTTGATCTTTTCGTTTTTTTCCTCTTTTCTTCTCTTGCATTATCCGTAATCAAGTTGTTTTTTTTTCATTCGCCTTCCTTTTATTTTCTCCGTGCGTACGCGAGGGCGCGTTGCGATAGCGTTCATACGCGGGGAAAATAAGATTCTTGTTCGTGCTTTTTATCTGAATTCCTTTTTTCTCTCCTTTATGTAGTTCAAAACACGTTTTCCATAGGCGTATTTTTTTCTTCGTTTTATCTATCTTTAGTGTGTGTGTTTTCACAGGCTTTCACATACACGGCTGATCCAACGGACTTTAAACTCAAACTGAAAACTCTCACTTATATTTATTTTTCAAGTAAAAGTCTATCCAAACACCTTGAGGGAAGAAAAACTGTCTTATCGCACGAATTTACTTAACATAATCCTGTAGATTAGTAGAGTCACTGCCGTAAAGATAACAATGATATTGCACATTACACCTGGCAGACGGGAGGGAGAGAAGGAGAGGGAGAGAGGGAGAAAGGATGAGAGGGAGAGAGGGAGAGAGAGAGAGAGGGAGAGAGAGAGAGAGAGGAGAGAGAGAGAGAGAGAGAGAGAGAGAGAGAGAGAGAGAGAGAGAGAGAGAGAGAGAGAGAGAGAGAGAGAGAGAGAGAGAGAGAGAGAGAGAGAGGAGAGAGAGAGAGAGAGAGAGAGAGAGAGGAGAGAGAGAGAGAGAGAGGGGGGGGGGGGAGGTAGAGGCATATCATAGTTTTCTTCCCTTTCATTAATATTTCCCTTTTTTCGTGATGTTTAATCCATAACACATTCTTTTCTTGTCGATACTGTTGTAATTATACTCACCACCATATCTTTTCCTAACCACCCACCCGTTATTCCTTTTTATTATCTTTTGGTTCATATTTATTTCCTTTTTTTCCGTGTTATTATCATTAAAAAAAATCCTTTCTTTCTTGATTCATCCGCAACTTTTTCTCTTTTTACCCTTCGTCATCGTCAGATAAGTGTCTATTATATATTTTGTATAACACTGCGTAAACAATTATAACGATCAAAACAATATTAGTTATAATTTATATATATATATATATATATATATATATATATATATATATATATATATATATATATTTCAGTTAATTATACTTGAAAATTAAGCATTCTAAACGTTATTAGTCTAATAATGATGTAAAAAAACCGACATCAATAACAACTTTGTACAGCAGTCACTTTAAGTACAATCCCAACATTTTTCCTCTGAGGTCTTTATACAGATACGTCTCTAACTTATTTGTCTATGCATCAGCCAATTTACATACCGATCAACCTGCCAGTCGATCAAGTAATCTCCATTTCAATCACTCTATCCCTCCACACCGCCCCCTCTCCCTGCCCATCCACCCACGTCTACCCACCTACTCCCCCTCGCATCCACCCATCCACCCACCAATGCCCACCCCCCAGCACCCACTATACCCCACCTACCCACCCAACTGACCGATCGCCTCCCACTGCCTTTCAACCACGCAACCAAATTCGTAAAAAAAAAAAAAAACTTACCTCCTGTGCACGGACATGTTGACCCTGTGGCCGGCGGGCAGGATGACGGTGAGGTCCATGGTGCCCTCGAGCAGGTCAGGGGGCGTGTCCTCGGTCACGTGACGCGAGGACATGGCCGAGGTGGAGGCGAACTGCCTCAGCGGGGGCGGCGCCATGATGCGGTCGGCCCACGACACCCTGGGGGAGAGACGCCGAGTTAGGAAAAGGGGCAAAAATAAATAGTTAATATATATTAAATATATATATAGTCCTGTATATCTGTCTATATACAGAATATGTGTAATAATAATAATAACAATAATAATAATAATAATAATAATAATAGTAATAATAATAGCAACAACAATAGTAATAATAATAATAAAGATGATCATAATAATGATGATGATAATGATGACAATAATAATAACATCACCGCCAAACAATGATAATAATAATAATAGCAACAACACTAATAATTATTATTATAAACATTAACAACAATAATAATAACAACTACAACAACAATAAAAGCAA